GATTTTTGAAAGGGCTATAGTGCAAGTTATTGGTAGTGATATAACAAATACAATATGCTACCAGGATGACATTTGTATTGGTGCTATTAATGACAAAAAATTAAAATAGAAAACCAGTATGGTTTCGAATAAGTTAAAAAAAATGCTGGATTAACAATTAATGAAAAAAATATGTGCACAAGACTAAAGAAATATCATTTTGGGATAAATGAAGGCATATTGCCAGACCTATCATTAATTGACAAAATAATAAAAGTTGAAGTAGCTATGAACAAAAAAGAATTGGAATCGTTCTTAGGACTAGTAAATTTCTACAGACAATATGTAAAGCGATACTCTGAATTGACAGAATCTTTTATTGCTTTAAGAAAAAAGAATATGGAATTTATTTGAATAGCAAGTGGCATTTGAAAATTCAAAAGCTGCTCTGGCAAAGAAACCAGTAGTAAAAATATTTGACCCTAGAAATGAAATTATAGTAACAACTGACGCAAGTGAACACTCAATTTTTGGAATATTAGCTCAAGATGGTCACCGCTATTATGTATCTTTTGAGAAAATTGTCAAAATCTGAATTAAACTACTCAAATATTGAGAAAGAAGCATTGGCCATAATATGGATGACAAATAGAGCTTGTCATTTTTTTGATTGGAAAAAAATTCCTACTCAGGTCTGACCATAGGCCTTTAGAATTCATATTTAATCATAGGAAGGAACTTCTTAAGGTAATGTCTGCTAGAATTCTAAGACCAGCCTCAATGTTAATGGCATTTAACTTTGATATTGAGTATGTGAAAGGCAACATCATTCCAAGTGTAAATGCTTTGTTGAGATTCAGGTTCATTACTTTTGAAAGAGGAGGAAAAATTTGAAGATACTTTCTTATACTGGGTTGAAACTGATATATAAATTAGCTGAGGATATGAAGTGAGGTCCCACATTGAATAGTATATTGTTCAGGATAAAAAGTGGAATAATTGCTCACAGGCAGAAAGGCATTTTAAAAATGTTAAACACAAGTTAACCATAGAAAAATGTGTAATTTGTAATGGAAATATAGAGGTTCCATCAGCAATGCAAATGAGCAAAATTATAAAAAGTATATATAACATTGTTCATTGCAGAATAACGTTTACACAAAGGAGATTAAGGTTAGAGGCATGGTGGCCAGGCTATTCTACAGATGAAGAATAATACATAAAAAGGTGTAAAATATGCAATGAAAGAAAAAAATTCAGACAGACAAAAATACATACATGGCCTAAAGAGTCCCAACCATGGGACAGAGTACACAGGGATCATGCCCATGTTAATGGAGTGAGCTTATTACTAATACTGGTAGATTCGTATTCAGGCTGGCCAGAAGTAATACAAGTTTCCAACAAAAGAAGTTTGACTGTGAAACAAGTTTTAACATTTTTGGTATCTTATCAAGTGATGGTGTTAAATGTCGAATAAAGCTTTATTCCACATAGAACACTATCACTTGATAAAACACCAGAAGTGTTTAAAAAAATGACTAATTTTGTAGTGATCTTATAACATTTTTATATTATAATTTTCGAATAAATGATTATATATACATATATACCAAGTGTAATAGCAGAATTTTTCAAATCGTGTAACATCATAATTATCCATCCCACAAAATGTTTAATATCTGAAAAAAAAAATTAATATATTAGTTTCTTTTCCACGTTTCAGATAAGACGATTAGCCATCTTGACGCCATTTTTCGTAAGAATCACTGAAATATCCTTTGAGTTATTCAGCTAGAAATAACAGGCTAAATTCGTTTTGTGTCAGCCATACTGTCTTCCCAAATGAGCAATAGTGAGAGGAAAAAGTTCATTCAGGCCTACAGTAATGGTATCGACATTTATACTCTGGCTTCCGTCTTCAAAGTCTATTCAAGAACTATCAAGAAAATGGTGAATAAGTTTTTAAAAGAGGGAACAGTAGAGAGGAAAATTAGATAAGGCGGTTACAACAAGAAAGAGGGGATGTCATTTCAACTTTGAGCTAAAAGATCAATTAGAAAAGATCCAACTTAATTCATAAGACGTTTGGCATGTGGAGAGGAGTTTCAGCTATGACAGACTAAAAGCCAGTAAAAAAAGACTTGAAAATGAAATCGTAACTGAAACGTGTAAGGCACCTTCTTACTCCAGGGTAGAAAGTTGGTAGGTTAGAGAGGGCGAAGATCATCTTGAATAAGTTGGAATCCTGGAATAATAAATACATATTTGAACTTCATTTCAATCCTCCATGAGCTTCTAATCCTTATCGATGATTAATTAATGATGAACATGTCATTTTCGTTTATGATCGATTTCTTCCCAATTCTGCTGTTAAGCTTAGAGAGTAATTATAGATTGTTATTGCTCAAAGTAGAGTCCAATATTGTTTTAAAAAACTCGGAGAATTCCAGTAAGATATCTTTAATCATTTCTAAGATACAACGGTTCAGAACTTAATCTAACAAATGGACAATTTTAGTGTTACACGATTTTTTGAACAATTTTGCTTTTAATTTTGCATATATATATATATATATATATATATATATATATATATATATATATATATATATATATATATATATATATATATATATATATATATATATATATATATATATATATATATATATATATATATGTATATATATATATATATATATATATATATATATATAAGCAACGCCCGAGCAAGGATGCAGGGGGGTGCAGAAGATTTGGAGCAAGAGCAGATAGGGAGTGACAGAAGAAAGGATGAGGAGAGGGATAGTGGATAGAACAAGATAACTGGAGATGTCGATTGACATTACGTTTGAATAGTTGGAGATTATAGCTCTCAGGGAAACAGTAATTGGTAAGGGTGTTCCACAGGCGAGAGGTGCGAGGTATGAAACTATTGGAGTAGAAGAGACGGCTACATTTAAAAGTTTCTACAGTGAAAGGGTGAGAGCTTGAATTCATGAAGTCTGGGAACCAGTGAAAGCAGCTCATCGGAGCAATGACCATGAAAGTATTTGTAGAAAAGACAGAGAGAGGCGACGTCGCGTCTGTGAGAGAGTGACTGTAGACGAGACGCCAGATCAGGGCCAAATATATTACATATCCGTCTCTGGATCATGTCAAGAACTCCGAGGTAAACAGAAGGTGCCCCAGACCATATATGGCAGCAATACTCCATGCAAGGGTGAATGGTTGATTTGTATATTTGAAATATTGATTCCGGTGAGAAAAATTTCCTGGCGCGGCACAGAGAGCCAACTTTCCTCGCGGTGGAAGAAGCAATTGACTTAATGTATTTGTTCCATCTCAGGTCAGCAGTCAACGCGAGACCGAGCAGACGCAGAGAGTTGCTCTCAAGAAGTTGACTATCAGACATTCTAATGGAGGGGGCAGGGAAGGATCTCTATAGTGATTAATAGAGAGAAGTTTAGTTTTTGAGGCGTTAAAGTTGACCAGCCAATTCTTGCCCCAATAAACAACCGATTGGTGGTGCATTTCAAGATGCACGGCCAGGTTAGTTTTGTCACCGACACTAGATTCGTTTTTGAGGCAGGAGTAAATTGTAATGTCGTCCGCGTAGATGCCAACTTGGGAATCTATGGCGTCAGGAAGGTCGTTGATGAAAATAAGGAATATATATATATATATATATATATATACAGGAAATCCAGTTGATATATAATCCAACCGAATCTTATTAATATAAAATAAAGTATTAAAACTGAATCAGAGGGCTCAATGTTTTACTCAAACGGAACATATATATTATAAACAATAGGAATAACGATTACTCCATAATCATTTTTTCGTTTTTTTTAAAAAAATTCTACAAGGTATATATATATATATATATATGTGTGTGTGTGTGTGTGTGTGTGTGTGTGTGTGTGTGTGTGTGTGTGTGTGTAATTTCTTTCCATGGTTGTCTTTTAAGAGGTAATTCAAGGATGCTGAGGAATAGTATTAGCGTTTATTCCAAGCCCCGAAAGGAAAATGGCTGAAATTCATGTTGGTGATGCTCTGTCTCTCTTTCTCTCTCTCCCCATATATATATATATATATATATATATATATATATGTGTGTGTGTGTGTGTGTGTGCGTGTGCGTGTGTGTGTGTGTGTGTCATGATCATCAATTCTACTTAGACTTATCTGTAGCGTACGTAGCATGGACGATTCTACGAGTCGTAGTTGCCAGTCCAAACGCTTTTGAAATACTAATTGCCAACCAAGGCAACTGAGTCTGCTTTTGTTAAATTTGCATTACAGACTGACCTTTGACAATACCATAGTAGACTGGGCTTTCTAGCTTTGCTTGGCATCGCTCTGGTGAGAAATGACCGATTCGTGCCTTTTCTAAGAGCATTTGTGCAAAAGTGAAGCCACTGATCTCGGCCAAAATTTGAACTCAATACGTCGATTTCACTTTTCACGACGATCAGCGGTACACTACACACGCACAGACATGCGAAAACACTCGCACATACATTACACACACTACATATATACACACGCACACACTATATGTTCCCGCTAAATCAGACATCACAACGGATGTTTATTCAAGCATATATTAACCTTTATATCTATATATTTTTGTACTAACAAAAAATTCCACGAACGTCTACAGAAAATTTTGAAAATATTCGCTATTTTTATGTTATTATAACGAATAAAAGCGTGCATTGTCTTCTGGGAAAATTTTTTTTTTTTTTTCGTTTTTTCCTTTTTTTTTTTTTTTTTTTTGTTATTTTAAGCAATACGAAAAGAAAATCTCGTGCAATTTATAAAGCGAATAGTCCAGAAGGAAATGATTTTAAAAAAATAAATAAATTGATACGAGTTATCTTGCATGTGATGAGTAGTTGAATATTCCGTTCTGGAACAACGAAAACAAACTTCAAAGGATTCCGAAAACGAGGCTAAAATACGATTTTTAAAAAAAAACTACATTAAAGAGCTGAGCACTTTCCTTCAAAATGGCGTCGGGGCTTCATGGTAAAGAATTCTACATCAAACGATAGAAAACAATTGATTGGCTACGTTGCCGATATACAATATTGCCTGATAGGTGGAAGCCATGTTTGAGTTTTCGCAACAAAAAAAAATGAAAGAAACATAAGAGGCGAAAAGAAGATAACGTGAAATGACCCTTCAAGTTGACAACAACATTAACATTATACCAAATCACTTAGAATATCAACTTATTTACTAACAGACTGAAAGTTACTATTGTGCAGGCTGTATTATTTATTGAAATATCTATCACGTGAACAACTTACCTACTTACCTAGTAAACATTTTCTATTAGCTTAGTCTGATTCTTGAAGAACTTCTATTGATCTATCTCAGTTTGTTGGTATGTATCTACCTCAGTCTGTTCGTATCTATCTATCTACATACATACATATATATATATATATATATATATATATATATATATATATATATATATCACTCTGTTCCTATCTATCTATTTATCACAGTTCACGTCAAGCTAGCTGTCGATCTGCCTGTTCGTATATATGTATCTCAGTCTGTCAATATCTATTTTATCTATCTATCTGTCCCAGTTTTTTCATATCTATCTGTCTTTATCAGTTTTTTTTACATCTATCTATCTATCTGTCTCAGTTTTTCATATGTATGAGATACATAGATATCTATCTCAGTTCATATCAAGTTAGCAGCCTATTTGTTCATTATCTATCTATATGTCTGTTTGTCTGTATATCTACGTCATTCTGTTCGTATCTATCTATCTATCTCACTCTGTTCATACCTATCTATCTATCTATCTATCTATCTATCTATCTCAATTGTTCGTATCTATCTGTCTATCAGATAGATAGATCTCTCTATTTAAGTTCAAATGAAGCTAGCTGCCTATCTGTGTATCTATCTGTCTGTCTATCTATCTACGTCATTCTGTTCGTATCTATCGATCTCATTCTGTTAGTACCTATCTATCTATCTATCTATCTATCTATCTATTGGTCTGCCTATCTTAGTTTTTTCGTATCTGTCTATCAGATAGATCTTTCTATCTCAGTTCATATCAAGCTAGCTGCCTGTTTGTTCATATCTATCTATCTATCTATCTATCTATCTACGTCACTCTTTTCGTGTCTATCTCATTCTTCTCGTACCTATCTATCCATCTATGTATCTATCAGATAGATAGATCTATGTCTATCTATCTACGCTATTCTGTTCGTATATGTCTCATTCTGTTCGTACCTATTTATCTATCTATCTCTCTACGTCACTCTTTTCGTATCTATCTCATTCTGTTCGTACCTATCTATCTATCTATCTCTCTACGTCACTCTTTTCGTATCTATCTCATTCTTTTCGTACCTATCTATCTATCTATCTGCGCTTGTTCATATGTATTAGTCTTTCTTGGTCTATACATGTGATTTTTTCTTGGTAAGTACGTGTCAATTTTTAAAGCCAGTTCGTAGCTGCATGTGTGCGTTTGCATTTATTAATCTGTCATAAAATCTTTTTTTGTTTTTCTTTTTTTTTCTTTTTTTTTTTTTGTTTGTTAATCGCTTCACCCCAAGCAAGGCAACAATGCAGCTAGAACGTAGTGGGTAGTTACAGGAAGTCAACATGAATGAGAAGATTGAATATTTGGAGGATTGAGGACGGCACAAAAACGGAACAGGGTTCAAGAAGACAGACGATGTCGATTGACGTTGCATTTTTGAAGGTTGTAAGGAGTAAGTAAACAGAAGGGAATTCCACAGATGGGAAGTGCAAAAAAAAAAAATACATTTTATTTGTAGTTGAAGGCATACAATTGCATTTCAAATATATTTTTCAAATATTAAATGACGCATAGAGGTGTTTATATGCCAATTAAAAAAACATCAACCAAACAACCAACATGAAAGAACTATTTATGAAATTAATCCATATATGTCGTACAATTTCTTTAAGGTATCAAACTGTATTGCGAAACTTCAACAAAACTACAGTTATAAACACACTAGTAATTATAGTGGGCCAGCCAATTTGTATTGGTTATAAATAGAAATAAAAACTGACCCTCTACAATTTTTACAATATCAAATGTAACAAAGACAACAAAAAGAGAAATAATCAAGTAGAAGAAAATGTGAATTTGTTCAACAATAAATATTTTTTAATAAACACAACAAATACATAATATATAGTGCAAAAGTTGATAAACACAATAGAGTTCTATGGTGTGTGTGTTACTGAAAGAATTTGAGGTACTGTACTGTATGTGTGAAAATGACAAGGTTTAGTTAGCTATATTTGTTTTTGTAGGAAAATTAAACAGATGTTTTTTGTGTAATAAATAGAAAAAAGTATTGTCTTGACTCACTGATTGTTATAGAGTTATCGCTCATTAACCAGAGATTCTTGTGGAATGGAATATTTTGTGGGAGTGAGCGTTAAGCCTGGAGATGGTTGACAAAGTTTGTTGTTGTATTGAAGATAAAGTTCGTCTCCTTTGCTGTGTTGATTTCCAATGAAGTCAAGTGAATTGCTTCAATATTTTAAGTGCCCACTGACCAAGTCGCGTCGAAGTTTCGTTTTTATTAGTTCTCTTGGTCACGTGGGGAGGCTTGTAAACATGTTTACATTTTATGGCGTCAACTAGAGGTCATAGTTGACGACACCTAATTAATATTGTACAACCAATCAAAATACATCAGTTGTTATATCTGGTTTGGAGCCTCTATGTGTTTAACTTGCACAAAATTTAAGATTTAAAAAAAAATGTAGGAATCTGATTCTACATAATCATGTCCGGACAAGCAAGTATATGCACAAAAGCTAAGTATCATCTACCATGTATTCAACTGTGAAAGCAGAATAACATATATCATATTTTTATTTTTTCAAAGCTCTGAAGAAAATTAAATTTCGGCATTAAATGACCCATAAGGAGTTAATATGCTGTTAAACAGACAAATCATCAAATCAACCAAATAGTGACTTTTCCTTTCATTCCACGAAATCAAAAAGGAATTGTCTATTATTTATTAAGTATTGACGGGGCGTAACGATCGTGCGAAATAAAACAGGGAAGGACAAGTACAAATAATAACAATGATAATAATAATATGAAAAATGTCACGTCTAAAATATATTTTTTTTTAAATTAACAACCTATCTACCACAGCGTATCGATCTATTATTGCATCTATTGATCATATGTGCGTCGTTCGTTGATTTATTTAAATCTCAGCTTATCTTTATTTAACGTTTTTTGTCTCGTAAACTGTTGATAGGCAGATCTTCACTAAAAGCTCCATTACTTTCTCTGTGTCCTAAAATTCCTAATACAATTTTTTTTTTCATTGGATCTATCTATCTATCTATCTATCTATCTATCTATCTATCTATCTCAGTCTGTTGCTATCTATCTATCTATCTATCTCAGTTTGGTTGTATTTATCTGTCCAAGTCGGTTCGTATCTATCTATCTATCTATCTATCTATCTCATTCTTTTCATTTTCTATCTATCTATCTATCTATCTCAGTCTGTTGCTATCTATCTCAGTCTTTTCGTATCTATCTCTCTGGCTTACGGCCACATCACGTTGAAACATCAGTTCTTTCATGAGCAATGTCAGTCTTAGTCAATATCCAAATGGGTGACCACTTCGGTATGCCCTGTACTGTAAGTTGGAATCTGCGTGTGGTGTAATGCTTAACGGTTCACAATTGTTAACCGGAGTTGGGTTCGTTAAATTCACTTACATGCAAATACCCTTTCGAAAGGCATGAACTCCCATCTCCCCCCGCCCACTACCACCAGCCAATAATTAATTAGTTTGACTCCTATTATTATTATCTCCTAAAAAGTCGTACAATCTAAAAACATTTTCTCGCTTTAAATAACTTGTAAAGGGTTGATAAGCCGTCAAAGAAACAAAACAATCATTCATATCTACTATCTATTCTTCGGATGGTGGCTAGGATTAATCACTGGCACCTGGGGTTTCCTCTTACAATTTTTGACCTCTGGTTTCATGTATGAGTGGGACCGCAATTTTAGACTTGGTCAGTGGGCGTTTGGGAAAAAATACATTATTCTTAGGATTTAATAGTTTGTGTTTATTGACGACAGTATTCATGCTTCAAATCTGACGCAATATTTTTTAAGGCCAAAATAAATTCATGTTACTACACACTGCTGCAAATGAACTAAGCTGAAGAACAAAATAGAAAACAATTACATTTTGTTCCTCCAGTGGGTCTGAGACTGACCACATAGTGAAAGAAAGGAAACTACAGCGGTTGTTTCAGTTCATTTGTACAAGAAGTGTAGTCTAGCCAATTTCATTTAGTTTAGTTACCTTTGTAGATTTATCAGTTGTATTATTAAGTACCTCACATTGTGATAACAGAATATCTGGCAAGAAGAGGGAAATGTTCTTAGAACCAGAACGCAAATTTGCTGCCACATTGCTGATTACAATAATGCTAACCTTGTCATGTCTCGAGTCAACCGTTATCTGTCCTACATATCCTCTGAATCTGCGCCTCATTTTTCTTCTTATGAACAGAGATAGATAGATAGATAGATAGATAGATAGATAGATAGATAGAAACAGACTGAGATAGATAGATACGAACAGACTGAGATAGATAGATAGATACAAACAGACTGGGACAGATAGATAGATAGATAGATAGATAGATAGATAGATAGATAGATATGATATGATATGTACATGAATAGATAAATGAAAATGATTATATGTATACATGGCTTCAAATTTACTATGTATATTAGGCATCAGTCAAAAGATCATCAGTGTTTCTTACTACCCGGAGTTTCCTGTGTCTCGCCGGACATTTCGCACATCAATGGAAATCATTACAATAGGAACTAAATATTTCTGTCACATTTTCTTTTTTGCAGTAATATGAACATCCCGACAATTATGGGTATCTACTCAAAATAACGTTTACGTTTACATGATATAAATCTCTCGTATTAATAATTTTAAAAATACATTACTTGATATATATATATATATATATATATATATATATATATATATATATATATATATAAAATAAAAATTACTTGAGATATATATATATATTATAAATTAACTGATTTACAATATGTTTTCGCTACACAGTAATAACCATGTTTCAAAAATGGAAGCTAAAAACTTTAAATTTAATTATATAATTAGATTTAAAGCATTAGTTCCGTTTCATCTTCAAGCGAATATTGGAATAACTTTTTATGCTCTGTAAATTTACATTGACCACTGTTTTGTAAGAATAAAAATAAAAAATAACAAGAACAACGGATTATATATCTTTCTGTTCTTTCTTTTTATTATAATACATACATATATATATATATATATATATATATATATATATATGTGTGTGTGTGTGTGTGTGTGTGTAAAGTATACCGGATTATATATCTTACTGATCTTTCCTTTTATTATAATATATATATATATATATATATATATATTATAATTTTTACATACGGACAAAACATGCGTCGAGATGCATACGCATCGAAACAAAATGAATCTTTGTAGTAAGATTTTTGTCCATATGTAAAAATTATAATAAATAATTATTGCTCTACTCTTGATATTGAGCCCTCTTTAGAATTAATGCTATGAACGTTAGAATTTATATTATTTTCGTTCTCATTACATTCGTGTATATATATATATATATATATATATATATGTGTGTGTGTGTGTGTGTGTGTGTGTGTGTGTGTGTGTGTGTTTTTCGAATGGATTTTTTATTAGTCGGACATATTTGTATTAATTTAAAAGATATTTTTAATGAACGATTGTATTTGAGTAGGCGCTCCGTTTATTTTTTTTTTAAACAGTATATTTATTTATTTTCGCCTACCGGCCTGAATATTCGAGATATTCTGTTTAATAAATAAGCGGAGCACCTACTCAAATACGAATATTCACTAACAAATAACGCTTAAATTTATATAAATCTGTTGGTGTAATAAAAATCCATTCTGAAAATTCTCTTTGTTTCCGTTTTATAACGGAACTATATGTAAATATGAAAACGTTTTCGAGAAATCTGTGAC